GTTCAGTGCTGCCGCTCATTTTAACTGTTTGTTGGAAAGCAGTTAAATCGTAAGGTTGTTTGCTGGGGGGAGCTTCAGTCCAGAGCCAGCCAAAGCTGGGGCTGGGTGCAGTCCCGAACAGGCAGCAGAGCTTGCTGTGCGCTGGCAGGGCGGCCCCCCGCACCGTCCTGTCTGTGTTGTTTAAAGTCCGTCCCTTCAAAAGTATCGCTGAAGTTACACGTTTATGTGGGTGGCTTTGTAGCCCTGGTGAGGAGGCAGGTCTGTGAAGGGCTGCTTTGGGAGCCGGCACCGCTGGAATGAAGCCTGCGTCTTCCTTCGAGGTGGTCGCAGTGGGGCTGTTGAGGTGGGAGATGACCCACAGCTGGTCATCTCTGGCTCTGGGTCTGGCACTGGCTCTGGGAGCACGTGCAGGCCTGTCTGTTGTGTGGCTTCGGGACTTCGCTTGTCCACATCTTCTGAAGCAGCACACAAGAATGTCTCAAGGCTTGCACAGAGCTACCTTCATAAATATTTTATCAGAAGTCCAGCTGCGAAGAAAGCCTCTGAGTGCAAACTTGTGCTGTAGGCAGAGTTTTATGAAGGAAAGTGAATGGAGCTCCTAGATATTGCTGCAGTTCAATGGGATTTTGGAACTCTCCATGTATTACTTAGGCAGCCATAGTCTGTCCTCTGTCGTCACGCTGAGCTGCTCTCCCTGACCGGTGCAGGAGACTGGTGTGGCTGCTGTGGAGGGGCTTTGATTCCTCTCTACTTCTGCCTTCATTTAAATCCTTAGTGTAGAGAAACTTCTTATATTGTGTGTAGGCAGACCTGCGCAGCATGCTTTCCACCTTGGAGACCATTAAATATCTTCAGAGCAAGCCTTGCTATGCTGATGTGCCTGCCAGTCTTCCACCTTCCTCCTTACCTTCAGCTATTTTTTCTCTCTCTTTTTTTTTTTTTTTTTTTAAAGATAAGAAAATGACCAAACATTGATTCTTCTTTTACATAAAGCAGTCCAGTTTGACTTTTAGGATGTGCTTTTTATTGGACTGTCGCTCACAGACCTGCTTTGGCTAGGAGGAGGACGGTGACAGTGGCTGTGCTAAGCTCCCATTTCAGGCAAACATCCAAAGGAAACAGACATGTTGTAAAATAAATGCCCAACGTGCTAGAAACTTAAATGCTGTCATTTTTGTTTTTCTTTTAGCAAGCAACATTGTCTTTATGTCAACTAAGGCTGTTTTGGTGGATTTTGGCCTAAGTGTCCAGATGACTGAAGACATATACTATCCCAAAGACCTTAGAGGAACCGAGGTAAGAAGCTGTAGGGATGTCCTGGGTTTGGCCAGGACAGGGTTAATTTTCACCGGACTCCAGGAAGGGGCACAGCCGGGGGGTGGGGGCTGACCCCACCTGGCCAAACAGAGCCCGGTATTCCATACCATGTGCCGTCGCGCTGGGTTCCGGTGGAGGGGGCAGTGCGGCGGGGACTCACTCGCGGCTGGGGAGGGCGCGGCGGGGGGAGGGGCGGCCGCGTGGCGCTTTTGTTGCCGGCGGCAGCCGAAACCAAAACAAGGGACAAAAAATCTTACATTGTTTTACATCCGTGGCTGTGACGCTTAGGCTCAAATGTAGAGCTTGAGAGTAAAAGCTTGGGCAAAAGAGTTTTAGAGTAACTTATCAAAAAGTTACAAACAAACATTAATATAATCTCAATTATATTTTTATTTTCAACTTGCTGAATGGAAAATCACTTTGAAAGGCATGTCACCTTCTCTGCAGGCCCATTTGTTAGCAGTTATTAAATCTGAAGTCAAAAAGAAATTGGGGTTCACTGAAGTCAAAGGAGCAGTGCTCTGGGAAGGGTTGTTTGGAGTGCATCAGCTGCTGGTCAGAGACGCTTCACAGTGGAATTTTGGTTCTTTGCTGCAGCAAAGATTTCTTCTGAGATACCAGCTATGGACTAGGGTGACCTGCTCAGCACAGTAGTTTGACTCCTCCTTTGAAACCACAGAAACTACAGACTTCTGGGTTTCGTCCCTTGGCGTTTCTAAGCTGTGTTCGCCATCTGCATGTAACCCTCTTGTCCTTTGGGGGTTGTGTATGGCGCGGTTGGTGATTATCTGGTAAACTGTTGGGGCATTACAGTGATGAAGGTGAGGGACTTCTAAATTTTCGCAATGACTTTGACTCTGAACATGTGCAGAGGTCCTGCACGCCACTTGGGCTACCAACGTGTTTCCAGGGCTGGAGCTTTAGCAAACAACCAAGCAGCAGCAGTTAGCTTGGATAGCTGCCGCAAATGTGGCCGGAGGAGGTTGTTAGCAGGAAACGCTTCAGCTGAAGTGTTGGTGCTTACGGTTTTGATAGTTTTCCACAGCATAGGCATGTGTTTAGAGGAGATACTCGTGTAGCTGACAAAGAGCATTTCAGTCCTTGGAAGGGTGGGATAAACCAAGATTTCACAGGAGGTCAGGCTTGTTTGCTGATTTGTTTTCAAGATACTGGGAAAAATACTTGAACATTTGTTTTCACTTTCTTTCTAGTCAGGGAATTGAAGAGCTTAAAACACTTACTGTACTGGAAGCAACATGCTTTCTGGCATTTAATGTGCATGCTTTGTGGGTGTTTTAATTTGGTTTGGGGTTTTTTTGTTGGTTTTTTTTAGGGGGGGGTTTGTGTGCTGTCAATAAGAATAATGGTGGCAATGAGTTGGAAGCTCTGGTAGGGTATTTGTCAAGGGTGGTGATGTGTGTAAACAGGAAATTTCCAGCTTTGTGGAGTGGACTGGTGATTATCTGCTCCTGACTGTTAGAGGGCAGGCCGAGATCGTAGTGGTAAGAACAGCTGCAAAAAACACTTAGTTCTTCATTTAGTAGGAAGAAAATTATTCGTCACTTTTGAGCACCTGCAGTGATGTCCTCAGAAAGCAGATAATCCCCACAACCCTGAAACATGGCAGTGCTTGGTGTTTGCTGTCCCAGGGAGAGGCAGCCAGTCCTCGGAACCAGCAGTCTTGCTGTTCTGTCCCAGCATCGAGGGCCAGAAATAAGGTTGCAGCAAGAGCTGGAAAAGATTTTCAAATACCAGTCAAAGATTTACAGGAACATTGTGAATTCCCGTCTGTAGGTTTTCTGCTCATAGTCTTCCTCCTAGGCATCGTCCTCTCCACAGTGCCTGTGTTCAGCCTTGTGGGGTGCCTAATCCAGTCACCCACAAATGCCTTCTGTAGTCTTTGATAGCACAGGCTTTCTTGATTTTTTTCAAAGATCGTGACTGTCCAAAGTCCTCCTGAGTCTTGCACCCTCTGTATGCAGCCTTAAGAAGCAGTGCAGTTGTCCAGGAGTGCTGTTTCTAAACATAGCTGTGCACCCCCTTGTTAGGGCCGTATCACTGCTGTGCAGCATTGTGCCTGTGAGCTGACTGGTTTCTCTGACGTGTCCACGAAGGAGGTGGCAGTTGGCGTTATCTTTCTCCTGTGCATGTTCTTCTCTGCGGATTTAGGATTTTTATTCGCTTCTATAGCACAGAAAGTCTAAATGTAGTGAACCTTCTTTGTGTTCATGAAAATGAATAGTTGCAATTCTGGTCAGAGTGATTGAAAGATAGTTAAATTTTATTTAGTTGGTGTAGCATGAAAAACCTGGGTTTTCTGAACAGTGTGTGTACAACGCATGCAGCACAATATACCGTGGTTGTGATGAAACTGCTCTGCAGGAAATACATTTTCCAGGCGTTTGCTACATGTTCTGTTATGCTTCTGTCACTCTGTTAAAATACATAAGCTTCAGTTACAACCATTTGAGGGGAAGAAGTAGTTGTCTGCTAAGGTTTACTGAATGTGGAAGGTGTGATTTGTTTGCAGGAAGGCTAAACTAAAACTAGCACAGCAGGAGGAAAAGGACTGGGTTTTAGCTAGGTTGTCTCTGGACTGACTGGCAGACAAGTGCCAGCCCAGCAGTAGGAAGGAGTGGGGATGGGAAGGTGCCTGAGGCTTGGGCTGCCTGCTTTGGTGGCAGCAGAGTCTTAGGTCAGTCTAAGTCAGTCTGTACTCACAGCTTTGGTGCACATCTCATTTTTTGCGTCTTGTCCCTGTGCAATCAAGGTGCATCTTGACCATTTTCACCCTTTAACTATAGCTGCAGACAGGTTCTTGTTCCAGCAGCTTTTTCTTCCTCCAGAAGGCAGCCACCTTTTCTTTATGTGGATTTCACTCAAGTTGCACTGTATTTGCTAATGACCCTTTTTTTACAAAAGTAGGAATTGTGTTCTTTGCTCCCTGTAAGACTAAAACGTGGTGGGTGCAGACACGCTTATTCTGTCTTAGCTCTGAAGAAAGCAG